AAAGTTTAAGAAAGACCCATGAGTTTTCGGCAATAAAGATGAATGTAATATACCATCCCAGTAGTTCTAAGTTATTGTCACTTTGCTTTCTAGTGGTATTTTATCAATGGAAAGCAGGACACTTGACCTCAACAGAAGAGAACCTACTATAGCACTGCAATCTGTGTACTCGTGCATTTGCACCTGTGTGTCCTTTCTCTCTCTCTTTCTTTCTCTCTTTCACTCTCACTCTCTCTCTCTCTCCCCCCTCTCTTCTCTTCTCTCTCTCTCTCTCTCTCTCTTTCTCTCACACCACAGATGAATACATGTTAAGAAATCCTGGATTCAAATTTCTGTTTCTCCTCTGACAGAAGCTGTTCTCTATAAGAAAGTAATCTTGAATGCCTTCCAATTGCAGCTAAAGATTGGCAGTGAAATCAGTTTTTAACAAAAGAAGGAAATCTCTAGTATGTGCCACCATTAGGAAAGGTATCTTATTATTTGGAGAGATGGGGTGTGGTTGGGCTACACCAGTGATGCTCTCTGCACTCAGGAATTACTCCTGCCTGGCAATGCTCAGGAGACCATATAGGATGCCGGGGATAGAACTGGAGTGGGTTGTGTGAAAGGCAAACAACCTACCTACTGTCCTATTGCTCCGGCCTGTATCTTATTTTTTAATGCTAAGAATGCAGTTGAAAATTACCCTGAAAATATAAAAGAATGATCTGCATACTATAGAGAACTCGATAGTTTCAAATTCAAAGAAAATACCTTTAATGATTTCTAATTGGAAGAAGAGATAAGTCTTCAAAACACAACAACAGAACAGCAATTCAGGAATTTAAACTCACACTGAATCAATTAACTATAACCACAAATACAGAATCTTAAAATCTCTTCTAGTATTCTGTCCCGGGGGGGTGGGGGGGGGGGAAGCACTCAGCAAGACAAAGTCAAGGTAAAGAGCAATGTTTGAGCCAGGTCCAAAGTAATAGGTTGCAGTAAGACTGTCATTGAATGCATAAGAAATCAGCTTCCATAACTGATAAATAGCTAAAGTTAAGATGTTAAATGAAGAAAAAAAATCCTGTGAAACTCCTGCTTTTTATTCTCTGTAACATAAAGGGTCTCTTACCAGAGTTGCGTGATAAACAATCCAGAACCCCAATTTAGTCCATTACTTCCTAAAATCAATCAAAAAAGTATCCACAAACCAAAATGTCACCAACATTCACCTGACCTAACTACCAAACAAAAGGAAGGAAGGGAAGAAGACAAGCAGATGGGGAACTGTGTAGGTTGGGGGGAGGGGGGGTGAAGGGTAACTAGTTGAAATTTTAAAATAAATCAGATTATGTATCCAAAATGAGTAACAGATCACACTTGGGGAAACTAGTTTTAAAAATAAGAAAAGCAAAATACACCAGGTAAAAATATGTATCTATAGATGGCACTTTGCTAAATGATTTGTATATTATTAGTTTTCTTGCCTCCAAAACCCTAGTTGCTATTGGTCTCCCTTTTCACATGGGGAAACTGAGGGATACAAAACCTGAAAAAGGTGATCAAAGACAAGTAGCTAGTAAAGTGAATAAAAAAACCTAGATTTTGCAAATCTAGACAGTGTTCACTCAACTTTACTAAGAAAATACAGCCTTCAAAAGATTGACATACACAGCATTACCTGAGATGGGAGACCTTGAGCCAGCTAAAAGAAAAAGATACCTTAATAATCAGTGCGGAATTTTCTGATTTTCCAGCCCTTCACATGCATGAAAAGAAACATGTCAATCTGAGGTTAAAGAAAGCCAAGACTAAAACAGCTCTCCACTCCACAATTTGCTTATTATTTTTTAGGATTAGGTAACAGAAATACATCAGGAACACTGTAAAAACAGTATCATATTTCAGAGGCTGAAATAACAAAACCAATTTGTGACATTCCCGTCTACTACGAGAATTTAAGTTGATTATGCTTCTGGTATCTCTTCTCCCTTCAATGACTACTGCTAGACAATCACAGTGGAATGCATTTTAATTTCCCGGGAGTCAAGCAATAAATAGGGCTCTGTTAAATATAGATGATAAACAGTCACTTTCACAACGCAATCAAAGATTAATACAATAACAATAAAAATGCCTCTTTACCAGAAGACCTGACATAACATTAGCTCATTTAACTTTCACAGTGACAATATGTAGTACTATGTTATTTCCCTAGTTTACATATGGAAAAAAAACTGAGGTACCAAGAGATTAAGTAATTTGCCTAAGACTACACATGCAGCAAGTGACAAAACTGAGAGTCCACCTCTTGACTCTCCAGAAAATCTACTTAAAATCAGAAGGTATTTTCCTCCCTGCCATTGGCCCATCTCCCCATTCCACTCTGCTCCTTGCTGTCCTCCTCCCTCCATACTCACCCACTGTCACAGAAGACAGAACCTTTTCTGACATGAAGCCTCCAACTGTAGTACTTTCATCATTCCTCCCCAAACTAACTTTTCCCAATTTCTTTTGCACTTAAATGTGGTACAGAACTTACTCATCATTAACTGAGCTCCTACTACATATAATGCTAAGAACATTCCCACAATTTAACCGGTCATTAAAAATGTGTGATCAACCCTATTTCACACACACACACACACACACACACAAAATGATGTACAGTGAAGCTCAATATGTTGGCAAAGTTCACCTCCAATAAAGACGGGTGCTCTCATCTGGATGACTGAAAGTTCACACGCTTTCTCCATGTTTGAATACATGTAATTCTCATAAACACAATTTCTCTTTTCTATCTATCTAGAGCACATAGATACATGCAATACAATTCATAAAGGAGGTCTCTGACAAATGAAATTTATAAAGTTCTTAGGAAGAAAGCAACAACCATTCTCTTTAAGGTTTCTAATAAGATTTCCAAAAAAATTAAAAATAGGTTCATTATTTTAATTAGCTTACAGATCTGTTTATATTTAGATGGTTCCTGCTCACAACCCCACCCAAAAAAAAATTAGCAAAGTACCATCTAAAGGAATAGTAGTGGGGCTGGAGCGATAGCACAGCGGGTAGGGCGTTCGCCTTGCACGCACCGGACCTAGGTTCGATTCCCAGCATCCCATATAGTCCCCCGAGCACCACCAGGAGTGATTCCTGAATGAAGAGCCAGGAGTAACCCCTGTGCATTGCCGGGTGTGATCCAAAAAGAAAAATAAATAAAGAAATAGTAGTAATGTTTTAAACCTTTCAGGCAGAACTGTGTATTACCTTGAACCCCACATTATTCTCTCATTCCACTCCCCCTGATAGACCCGACCTAACTAAAGTCCCCAAAGAGACATTTATAAATTGTTTTGCTTTGCTATCAGTTACCAAGTCTCTCTTGGCCCTAAGGAAACAGCAGCATGACAGTATCCTCACTTCTGCAGCTTGCTAAACTTACATATCACCTCTTAAAATCTCACCTCTTACTCAGTGTGATTTTTAACCCACTAATGAGCATACTGTAAACGCTTGTTACACAAACATCTTCCCGGATGCAGAGGTTTTAGCAGCAGTTTCCAATCCACTGGCATGGCAGAAACAGCTATTCTTGCGATCCCAATTACCTTACATTACTGTTTTAAAATCACTATCCACACTAAGTGAAATAAGCGGGCCACGTATCCCAATTGACCACAAACGGGCAGAACCGAAACCAGAAATATTCCACCCAAGCGCCTCAAGGGTAGTACTCTTTATAATACTAAGAATGTATGCTACGGTAGTTGTAACTGGGGTACCTTCGCTTTCTCCCAGCGTATGCCACACCTATTAGGTTGACAAAAGAAAGAGAAATCTCTCTCAATCTCTCTCTCTCTCTCTCTCTCTCTCTCTCTCTCTCTCTCTCTCTGGGGTGGTTCTCATTTTGTTTTAAATTCCCTTCAAAAAGAAATAAAGAAAGAAAATGTCTCAAACCTCTTACCAAGAGCAAAAGCTAACAATAAAGCATTCCACCTTCCTTTTCTTTATAACCCCTCTGACTTGCCGCCTTCCAGCAGCGCTAGGAGGGTGAGGCGGGGAGGAGAGGGGACCAGGAGCGGGCACACAACGCAGGATGCCGCCGGTCCATGCCCAACTTCACCCGGGCGAGGCTCCGAGAGGCAGGCAGGCAGGCAGGCGGGCGGGCGGGCGGGCACTCCTCGGGCACCGTCTCAAGGCTCCCGAGCACATCCTTAACTTCCTCGAAGCCACCATTTCCCGGGGGCATGAGCCCAACACTCCCACCCGGACCGACAACCTAAGAGATAACTTGAAAGCACACACACACACACACACACACACACACACACACACACACATACACACACAAAGAGAAACACACACTGCTCGCAAAGGAGGCAGCTCCAGGATTCGGCGTGAGCCGAGAAGCCCCGGGGACCGGACGGAGTGGTGGGGGGGGGCGGGGGGGGAGAGCGGGAGGGGAGGCCAATTTGCCACCGCGATCGCCAGCGCACCGACGACCCGGGCACCGACGGGGCAACTGGGGGCGGGGGGGGCGAGAGGGGGCTGCAGAGCCGGCGCTCGGGGAGGGGGGGGCGGGCAGCCGCAGCCCCGCAGCCCCGAGCCCGAGGCGCCCGGGCCCCGTGGCCAGGAAGCCCCGGCGCGGCCACGCTGCTGCCTCTCCCGGAGGGCTCGGGCGCCCGCCGCGGCGATAAGGTAGATCGACGCTTCCCACCCTGCCAGCTCCGCCCTCCCGGCCACATTCCTGAGAAGCCCGACTCCCGGGACGCCGAGCGGGGCGCGGGGCAGGCGAGGGGGCGCAGCCCCGCGGGCCCCCGGGGCGGGGAGGGCCAGAGCCGCCCGGCGCGCGCGACCCCTACCCCCCAGGCCAGCGCGGCGCCTCCGGGGCGGGGTCGCGGGGCTGCAGCGCCGCCGCCACAGGTAGCCCCGAGCCCCCACCCGCCGCCCCCACCTCCCCCTCCCACACACACACACCCCCCCACCCACCCAGCCAGGCCCGCGCCAGGCACCTGGATGAACTGGATGGTGAGCGCCGACTTGCCCACGCCGCCGCCGCCGACCACCACGAGCCGGTACTTCTCCTGGCCGGAGCCGTCCCGCCAGCCGGCCGCGGCCATGGGGAGGACGCCGCCGAGCCCAGCCCGGCCACGCCGCGCCTCCGCCCGCCCTAGGCCCGGCTCCGGGGACGTGTGCGGCCGGCGGGCTGCGGCGAGCGGCCGGGCGGGGGGTCCCTGCCGGGCGCCCGGGAGCTGGCCGGAAGGGCCGGTCCGTGCGGCGGCGCGGCGCCCGAGCTGGCCCGGGTCCCCCGCCCCGCGGCTCGGGGAAGCGGGCTGAGCGCGAGGGGAGCGCGGCGCGGTCGCGGCGGAGGGTCGCGCCCGTCGCTCCACCACGTCTCCTCAGCGCCTCGGCGAACGCTGCCTCCAGCGCCGCTACAAATGGCCGTCTGGGGGCCGGGCCGCCGGGCTGAGGCACTTGCATATGCATGAGGGGCGGGGCGGGTCGGGGCGGGGCCGCGCCGGCCGCGGCGGAGATTTCCCCGAGCTGGCACCCCCCCCCACACACACACACACACACCCCGCCCCGCACCCCAGCACCGGGGGCTCAGACCCCCGCGGGTGGTGAGGGACTCGGCGCGCGCGCGCGCGTCTGTGGGCGCCGCGGAGTGTGGGAGCGAGAGTGGGAGCGGCTGTCAGGAGGGAGTGTGGGAAGAAGAGAGGAGCCGGTGTGGCCTTAATTATCCATGTCGGGGGACGTTGGGGTGGGGGGGTGTCGGGGATGGTGCGCATAAAATATGCGGCGGCGTGTGAAGACGAGAGCTGTTGTCATCTTAACTCCCGCTTGGGGAGGAGAGTAAACATCCTGTTTCAAGAGTGCAGATGGTGGACCGTGATTGTGCGAAGTCGGGGGGGAGGCAAAAAAAAAAAAGCCCCAAAGTATGTGACAGTGATTGAGGATAAGAAATGTGTCACCGTGTTTGTGTGTGAGGGGGCTTGTGGTGGCGAGGGTGTGTGAGGAATGTGGCAGAGACAGCATGGGGATAAGTCGCAGTGACTGGGAGTGTGTGGACAAGTGTGACTATGACAGATCTTTTTTGTCCGCATCAGAAGTGGATCTTGGTGGTGGTAGTGGGGGGTGGGGGGGCGAACGTGTGTGAGAAATATCTGGTTCTTGTGGATGAGGAGTGTCAGTGTGAGAAATTAACTTCGACTTATTTACCCCACGACATCCCACGCTATCTTTGAGGCTAGAGATTCTTTTGGGGGAACAAATAGTGTCCCTGCTCTCAAAACCTAGAATCCAAGAAAGACAACTAGAGACGCTGACATGTAACTACTACTACATCTGTACCCCCAGGAGAAGAGCTCACTCCAGTGTACAATGGTTAGGGGAGGCTTCTGGAATGACCTTAAGATTTATTTACCACTTAAATCATAGTGGTAAATGAATCACAGGGGGCAAAGACTCCAGGGAAAAAAACCTATGCGAAAGTCAGTTGAGTAAGAAAAGAATTGTGTCTTAAGATTTTGGATGTGCATTGTATGACTGAAACTCAAACATGAAAGCTTTGTAATTTCAAAGCTCACGGTGATTCAATTTAAAAAAAATTTTTTTTAATGTTTTAAAAAGATTTTGGATGTGTTAAGGGAGTTTGCATACCACTGACTGGATTATCTGCGCCAACTTGAGTAGCCTCAAGGGACACTCCAATGTAGAAACAATAACAGAGTAATAGTTTAGGCATGGATTCTGGAGCCACACTGTGTAGATTCAAACCCTGGGTCTTCTGCTAATGAGATGATGTTGAGAAGTTGACCTCCATTGCCTCAGCTTTCTCTTTTCTAAAATAAGAATGGAGGGCCAAAGGGATAGTACTGAAGTTGACTTTCTGGGTCCTCAGTTTGATCCCCAGTACTGCATTTGGTTGGGCTGGAGGGATAGCACAGCAGGTAGAGCATTTGCCTTGCATGTGGCCCACCTGGGTTCGATTCCTCCGTCCCTCTTGGAGAGCCCAGCAAGCTTACGAGAGTATCTTGCCCGCACAGCAAAGCCTGGCAAGCTCCCCGTGACGTATTCGATATGCCAAACACAGTAACAAGAAGTCTCAAAATGGAGACGTTACTGGGACCCGCTCAAGCAAATCGATGAACAATGGGAGGACAGTGCTATAGTGCTACTGCATTTGGCCTCCCAAGAACATCCAGCACTGAGCCCTAAGCACCACCGGATGTATCCCAAACTCAAAAATAAAATTAAAAGAATAGTAAGACCACCAGTTTCATAGGACAGGGGCGTGGGCAGAGGAGTGTTACTAAGAATTAAATGAGTTAGTAAAGTAAGTAAGTAAAGGCCCTCCTGTTGATCATCGATTTGCTCAAGCGGGCCCAGGAACGTCTCCATTGGAGACTTTGTTGTTACTGTGTCTGGCATATCGAATACTCTCGGTAGCTTGCTGGGCTCTCCGAGAGGGGCGAAGGAATCAAACTCAGGTCGGCCATGTTGGCCGCTTGTAAGGCGAACGCCCTACCGCTGTGCTAAATGAGTTATTTTATCTAAACCACATATAACTGCCTTCAATCCCCAACCCCACAGGCACAAAGTATACAGTTTTGGCAGTTTGGGAACATGACTTCAGGTTCTCAGTGCTCTCTCAAATATGAAGAATGCAGCAGAAGAGATTCTATATAACTTCCAAGACTATCTCAAAAAAGGTCATGTAGCTTTCACCCATTCTTTTAGAATTGTCACTGGGGGAGAAATGAAACCTTTGGCAAACCACATTCCCATATTGTCATGGTAGAGATGCCACGTGTAGGCCTGCCAGTCAAAAGTCCAGATGCCAGCCAACCTCAGGCAACAACTGCCAGTCATATGGGACTCTGTGGACTGCTGACTCCATCCAACCCTTTAGATGACTACTGCCCCTGCTGGTGTCTGACTGCAACTGCAGAAGAGACGAGCTGCCTCGCCCAGCCCTTCCGGACCCACACAATCGTGAACAAAATAAAATAATAAACTGATTGTACTTTTTAAATCCTTTTATTCAGGAGTATTTTCAAAGTATAAATAACATCAATACACCTTTACCCAGTTTAAAAAACTGTGAACATTTTAACTTACTTGCTTTTTCATTCTCCCCTTTCATCTATGTGTGAATATATTTATAAATATATTTTATATATTTACATAACTCATATATGTTATTTTATCATTGAAGCATAAGTTACATACATATTATGGTACTTTACAGTAAATTCATCAACAGTATTTCCTAATAATAGGAAAAAGATCTCATCTAACCTATACTGTTATCAACTTCAGTAAGTTTAATATTGACACAATTTCTTTTTTTCTTTTTTTTTTTTATTGAATCACTGTGGGAAAGGTTACAAAGCTTTCAGGTTTATGTCTCAGTCATGCAAATATCAAACACATTTCCCTTTACCAATACTTATTTTTTACCATGAAGAACCCCAATAAAACCCCACCCCCCACCCCTCCCCGTCCCTGTGAGGCAGATGAATTCTAGTTAACACTCTATCTGCTTTGATTAGATTCATTGTTTCAATAAAAGATTCACCACTATTATTTAGAGTTTACCCCCCCCCCAAATCAGACATGCTGAAAAAGCATTGTGAAGTGATTTGCTTTCTACAGCTGGGTTCAAGAATTAAATGTTGGTTTTGGATTTCTGCTATTTTACCTATTGACCCTGGAAGTATTTCTACTGAAAGTCAGATAGTTAAGAAATTGGTTTCCGTGTTCTGGAGTCGTGGCCGTGCTGGAGAGCCGCTCGCGGGGGGACCGGTGGCCTCGGTAGGGCGTGAAGGGCAGAGCGAAACGCCCCCCTTCCCATGAGGTTTTAGTCGCCCCCACACTCCCGGCTCATACCTGCTGTCCACAAGGCTCCTATGTGGCCGCCATCTTTCTTTCCAGAAAGGAGAGGGCGAATGGGGCAACACCCTTTCCCCTCTGGCAGACTTGATGGCCTGGATCAACGCATAGTCCATTCACTTTTCTGCTCCAAGCTGCTGGGTTCTGCATTAAGTCCTTGTGCTTCTGGGGCCATGGCCGTGCTGGAGAGCCACTCGCGGGGGGCGACTGGTGACCTCGGTAGGGCGTGAAGGACGGACCGGAACGCCCCCCTTCCCATGAGGTTTTAGTCGCCCCCACTCCCCCGGCTCATACCTGCTGTCCACAAGGCTCCCATGTGGCCGCCATCTTTCTTTCCAGAGGGAGGAGGGCGGAAGGGAGCAACACCCTTTCCCCTCCGGGCAAACATGATGGCCTGGATTAACGCATAGTCCTTTCACTTTTCTGCTCCAAGCTGCTGGGTTCTGCATCAGGTCATTGTGCTTCTGGGGCTGTGGCCGTGCTGGAGAGCCGCTCGTGGGGGCAACTGGTGGCCTCGGTAGGGCGTGAAGGGAGGACCGAAATGCCCCCCTTCCCATGAGGTTTTAGTCGCCCCCACATTCCCGGCTCATACCTGCTGTCCACAAGGCTCCCATGTGGCCGCCATCTTTCTTTCCAGAGAGGAGAGGGCGAATGGGGCAACACCCTTTCCCCTCCGGCAGACTTGATGGCCTGGATCAACGCATAGTCCGTTCACTTTTCTGCTCCAAGCTGCTGGGTTCTGCATTAAGTCCTTGTACTTCTGGGGCCGTGGCTGTGCTGGAGAGCCGCTCGTGGGGGGCGACTGGTGACCTCGGTAGGGCGTGAAGGACGGACCGGAACGCCCCCCTTCCCATGAGGTTTTAGTCGCCCCCACACCCCCCGCTCATACCTGCTGTCCACAAGGCTCCCATGTGGCCGCCATCTTTCTTTCCAGAGGGAGGAGGGCGGAAGGGAGCAACACCCTTTCCCCTCCGGGCAGACATGATGGCCTGGATTAACGCATAGTCCTTTCACTTTTCTGCTCCAAGCTGCTGGGTTCTGCATTAAGTCATTGTGCTTCTGGGGCTGTGGCTGTGCTGGAGAGCCGCTCGTGGGGGGCAACTGGTGACCTCGGTAGGGCGTGAAGGATGGACCGGAACGCCCCCCTTCCCATGAGGTTTTATTGACACAATTTCTTTGTTTAAATATACCCTTTACATTCCAATTGCGTTAGTTGAATGAATGATATTTTTAGATATTTTCCCACAATAGCACAGGATCCATTCTAACAGTCCGAAGTCAGATATTGTATTAAGTTCTTAAAGCTATTTGACTTTCCTTCAGTATTAGAAAATGAGCTGCTTTAAGCAGCAATGGAGAAGGGTGTGTATAATACTGAAATGGCAATCAGAAAAACCTCAATGACAGATTCGAACTTTAATGTAAATAGGGGAAATGGAGAAAGAAAGAAGAATCCAGTCAAGAAAGTGCTGATGAAAGGCCAATTATATTTTCC